AGACAGAGAGATAGAGAGAGAGATAGACAGAGAGATAGACAGAGAGAGAGAGAGAGAGAGAGAGAGAGAGAGAGAGAGAGCGAGCGAGCGAGCGAGCGAGCGAGCGAGCGAGCGAGAGCCCATCGCTGCATTTCCACACCTCTGCACGGCGCAGTCGCTGGCGCTCTGTCTCCAGCTTCTTTGCGGCCATAGCTGCCTCTGGTTGCTCTGTAGCATGACTCTGCAGGCCTACTGGTATGGGCATAGGCATAGTCATCCTGCCTCGTGCTCAACCAGCATCTGCGCCCATTGAGTCTGTGCACGGGCCTCCCGCGGATTGGGCTGCTTCAACGCACTCGGAACTTGCAGCATTTTCTGGCTAGTCCTGCTGCCAGCGGCCATTCCCGCCATGCAAAGTCACCCAAAGCTCATAGTCTGGAAGGAGAGAACCTCACTTGACTGCACATAAGTTCTCGACAACAGGAATCTCGTTGATGTTCCGTCGCCTGCAAGATCTCCAGGCTTGATGCTGTAGGTGGCGGGAAAGTCTTTTTCCTGCCCTGGCACAGCGTAAACAGAGTGCAGCCAATGCTGCCGCTGCCGTCCAGAACTCGAAGGTTCCTCTTATCAACATGTTGATGTGTTCACATTTGCAAAAACCGCAAAATCCATGTTCAGCTTTTCATCTCGCGGCGTCGGGACCGGATCCAGCTGAACCCCTATGACAAGAGCGAGTTGAGGCTGTGCCGTGCCGCAAGAGAAATCGAGATCCTTAAATCATGTACGTCAACCCTCCCACGGAGCCATGAGCGAGCCTCTTTGCTTTGAGTCAACGCGTGTCGCCCAGGTGTCAGCGCCTCCACGCAGCGGCACTGCACTTGGACTGCACTTCTCTGGGAGCCCCTGCTGGCTCTCAAGCTCGGCGGTGCTGGCTGGGCCTGTCAAAAGCCGTACTCAGACCACATTGGGTACAGGAAATTATTGCGGACTCCCGAGCATTCCGAGCACCGGGCCCAAGAGGCCGGCGGGCTGTTCGGCGAGGGAGCCCTGGTCTCCACCTGAGCTCACGGAAGGTCCCGGCCCGTGTGGGGGGGGGGCGGTTCCCGCGGCCGAGAGGCCCCGACGCTGGGAGCCGGCGAGTGCCTTCCCCGTGCAGAAGACGGGCAGCGGGTCGAACCTCCACTGCTCGGAGGCCGCTCCTCGTCTCCTCGAAATCACAGAGTGGTGGACCCTCGTGACGGGACGGTGACGGCCCACCAGGCGCCTTTTGACAACGACGAGGCCTTCGAGGCCCAGCGTGGCTGGTGCCAGGCTTCACTTGTCCGGTTGCCGCCCTCCTTTCGACTTCTACAAAGCGCAAACAAACGCAAAGCACTGTTTCCACGTCATGCATTGTCATGCCGTTCCTGCCGCCGCCCAAAGTCTTCCATCCGAAGTCTCCAGCGCGCCATGCTGGAGACGAGGAGGCCAAACTACGCCATCCCCATTTGACTGTTGAAACTGACGGCACAGCATGCTGAGGTTACTCGGTCTGCAGGCAAACCACCATTACGTAGTTACAAATGGCTGCATGACAGTTTCCATGCGCATCTGCATATACAAGCACACCCACATTTAGACCTCACACATACCCAAGACGCACAGCACATGTTCCGAAGCTGGCAGGCCAAAACGAACAAGCACATCAATGCTGCCGTCTCATGTCATGTGCGCATGATCTCGACGTGAAGAGATGCAAAGTGCACTTTTATGATTGGCATGGCAGCAATTTATTTTTCGAGCAGGACTCGGTCGTCTGCAGTAGTCACGCATTCACGCGAATGATCTTCATCTGTTCGTTCCCATGTTGTGGCTTCCGTGGTAGACCTTGGCGCCAGCGCTGCAACCATCACTCGGGAAGACAACAGCACGACTGAAGCACCTCCACTCTCCATGGTGACCCGAGGACCAAGTAGTAGCTGCAGAAGGCCAGGAAGGAGATCAAGATGTTCGCTGTCAAAAAGGCCCCTGGCCATTCGCAAGACTAATGATTAGTGCAGGCCCTCGAGATGGGGCACACACCGTAAGAATACCGGTCTACATGTCAACACTTTTTTGACCTGTCGCCTCATGCGCAGCAATGTCCAAGTAGAAAAGCATAAAGCGCGTAGCCTCGAACCTTAACCTGCCATACGAAACCACAACGTCTGGCCTCTACCTGTTGTCAGATTGCGGCAAACATGCAGTGGTTGTTCCACTGCTGTCTAACACTGACGGTCGAGGTTGGGGTCCTCGGCTGAGCCCCAGCCATCCAGAATACTCTCATATAGCAGTAAACTTCGATGATGAACCATGTACAGCGAAGTCCAGTGCGTCACAAGCAATCATTGCATGTACGTCAAGAGAGCATCCTCTCCTGATATCACATTCCGATGGTGCGGTCTTCGTTGGGCAATGCACACCAAAAGAATCTTTCCCCCCCTGCTGTCGAAATCAGAAGTAATACTCAGGTCTCTTATTGTCAAACTCAGGCGTGGACTGTCAAGTGAAAACCCTTGGATACAGGGTTTGCACACACACACACCCCTCGCCGTAGCGGGGTGGTTAACGCTGTCGTTCCAAATAAGTCCGATTATATAGTACTGGTAAGGCGACTCGACGTATGAGACAGACTTGGCAGCGCTGAAGTCCAAGATGTCGTAACTCTTTCCGGATGATGTCTGGAGTGAGGGGTTAGTCAATGTGCCATCGTGATCGCTCATATAGTCGTAAAGTGGGGGACTGGTATGGTACGCATAGGACTTGACATTACTGATGTAGGCGCAGCGTGTCAAGACTGGAGTGGCGTGCTCTCCGGTTGGTTTGAAGGAGAGCGTGGATTGTCGAGATTGGTGGCAAAACTTCAAAAAATGCCGTAAAAGCCTTGGTTGTGGAGTGAGTCCACGTAGTCAATGCGATGAGTGTGGGTATTCTGTAGAGCGAGTCGACCAAGTAGACGGACGTAGTGGTCGTTGTCCCGTCGGGGAAGTGTGGTGCCACGCAGAAATCTGGGGATTCGTGGTATAGACCAGAGTCGCGCTTCCAATAGATGTAGCAGCCATCCTGACATAGGAATGTCCGTCAGCATGAGGAAGTTCGAGTCAACGGGCGCTGATGTGGAAGGCATGAGATGATGGCAATATGGAAAGAAGAGGAAGGGTCGGATCCGCATCTGCAATGGCTGCGGAAGAAACGTGCTGACAGAGAATCAACAGCTGCGCCTGCGCATTGTCACGGACATGTCATCTCGGCGTCGGTCCCGAAGCTAACGATAATGTACAGAAAAAAAGGATGAGCTAGTATCAGCGTAGTCGTGGACGACTTTTGCGCAGTCGGCGACGGCTTCCGGTTCATCGCTGCTCGAGTGTTCTATCAGATACTATCAAATCATGTAGTTGTTGTAGAACCGACCGAAGACAATCACTTAGTTGTAAAGCTGGTGGCGTACATGTTCGGTTAACATTTCTCTGTGTCTGCTGTATGGTGTCGGATCGTGTCGTTCGTGTAGCTGAGGTCGAAGTCCTGGCTGGTGACCTGGCGCTGAGGGAGCGGAGTGGTGCGATTGATGTCGGTATCTGGGCAATTGCGTTCTTGGATCGTGGCTCACATTCTTAGTCCGCATGAAGCTCTCTTTTGGCACCGGGTTGGTGACGTTGATGATGTGTGTCATGCGAAGGCCACGCGGTGCTCGGGCGGAGGTAGAAGAGATGGGTCGGCTGCGAGAGCGTGACCTCGTACTGGGGAGAGGCATCAAAAAAACAGAAATGCATCAAAAAAACAAGAATGCAGCAAAAAAACAAAAATTTACATGTCGGGCGGAGGCTTGCGCAAGAGACCCCGGGGCACCCAAGCGGTCATAGCTCTGATGCTTCTGGACTTGGCAAAAATGTTCAACATTCCACGCGAGCGCACGGAGTATACAACGTATACAACTGAGGCCCCAACCGAAGGCGTTTCGGAGCGTCTTGCGGCCTTGGGTGAGGAATGTCTTCGGTGGCAGGTGCACGTTTGCACATACCCTGATATTCCAGCAGCCTGTTTTGCTGCACGCGGCGAAGATGGCGAGGCCTTTGAAAACAGCGCAGGAAAGACCCCCATGTGGGATACCGTAATGTTGCGTGAAATGCAAGCGTCTGGTCTGCGTCTCCTTTGAGGACGTTCCATCCGGAGGCCATTCCCTCCCCTCCCTCCCCCCTCCCTCCTGCCTCCCTGCCTGCCTCACCCTCCCTCCCAGCCCAGCTAAGCCAAAACACAGGATTTTGTTGTTGATTCATTTTTGTTTTTTTTGATGCCAAATTTTTTTGTTTTTGTTGATGCATTTGTGTTTTTTTGATCCCTCACCCTCGTACTGTGTGTCCGTCGTCGTAGACCACAATGTAGTCGATCGGAACCCAGTGACGACAGACGTGGGCATCTTCTTGGACTTGTCTTTGAGCAGAGATCCTCAGGTTAGGGGCAAAGGCCGGGCGCTTCTTCATAAGGAAGTGCGCATTCGCCAAGGTGCCGAACATTTCAGATGCGTTTCTTGGGGGCATCTTTTGTCAAACGCCCAGGGATGCGCATCTTCCTTGAAATCGTAGTGGAACCAGAAGACATCCTGCTTCTCTGGGACTCCAGGTTGGTGAGCCATCCCCCGACATACGCCAGGCCATGGTCCGATGCATTAGCATCACCAGCCCCAGACCAAATGGCAAGCGGTATACAGAGAAGCTTGCCGGAATCTCTGCTGGAAAAGTGAAAGAAGCAAGGAAGCCAAGGCATGTATCAGTATGCTCGGCTTTCCTGCAGTGAGGCAGGCCTTCTTCCAGGCCCACAAAGGTTGCAAAAAGGGTTTTGCAAGAGGGCACGCAGTGGAGGCCCACGGAAGCCGACCTCGGGCGCTGGCAATTTGAGGCGTGGACAAGACCCTACCATCACGAAGGTCCTCCAAGATACGTGTGACCAGGAGGTGTTTCTCCCGTACCATCGCGAAAAGCTCCCTTGCAGGAGATGCAAGAACGGATCCCCAATTGGGGACTGCCTTCGATTAAGGCCACCGCGGCGAGGTGACGGATTGCCACTGTTAGCACACTCTCGACAAGTTGGGCGTACTCCTAGTTGGATTGCCCACTTCTCTCCAAACTTGCTGCGAAATCGAAACAACAGCGAAAATGTACCATGCACAGCGAAGAAATGCGAAGAAGCTAGATGCTTCTGGACGTTCTTTGGCTTCCCACATCATTGGTAGCTTCGTCGGATGCAGTCCCCGTGATGTGCTGCATCCCCATGCAGAACAAGGCATTCACTTGGGACGTGACTCCCATAAGTTCATGAGCGAGAACCAAACACGCACACGCAAAAACAAAAAAAAAAACTTGCTTGCGCGCACCAAGACTTCGAGGCTGTTCGCCCGCCACACTAGAAGAAGATGCCGCCGTATCCCGCCGTGCCACAAGACAAAAAATGCTCTCTGTGCGGAATGCTGCCGGTTTGCTTGACATGGAAGACGACAAAGGATCTTTTAAGGCAACCAACATCGTGCGCGACATGTCACCTTGTCTGAATCTAATCAATCCGTCCCTTCACCGTGCCTTCCAGCTGTAAGCTTCACCACAAACCACTCAAGCTGGAGCATGGTCGCGGATACAACACGAGCAGCACATAGGAGGTGCATTCAGAAACTCGGCTCAAAGCGCAGTTCACTTTCTTGCGTGAATGTACGGCATGCGATGGTGCCTTATGACTCCCGAACGGCATGCTACCCCACAAAATGGTCGTGTGCACCCTTCACGGGCATCGTCAGAGAACCGGCTGGCATAAGCTGAGCCTCGCGAAGAAACTCACAGTCGGAAATGTTTACGTCCGTGCGGACCTGCAAGCAATGCGAATATTTCGCAGCAGAAGACACAACAGAGTCTTGCAAGCGCCTGTGTTGGATCAAGTACCGGAAGCACCGAGATTAGACCTCGAGCCTGCGCAACAGGAGGGTTTATTAGCTTATGGTTGATTTTTGTCCAACAGGAAGAGGTTTGGGGTCTGCAGCCGAAACAATTAACTGGGGCAGATTGAGGCAAGCTCTGGAGCAGGTAGTTCGGGGCGGCTTCCGAGGCAGGTTGCGGGGCGGGTTCCGGGTTGCGAGGGCAGGTTCCTCAGCTTCAGGTTCCGGGCAGGTTCGGACACAAGGTCTTGCAGGGTGCAGGTTCGGAGCGGGTTCCGTCACTGTAGTGAGGGGCGGGTTTGAGAAATGTGTCCAGCGACGGGGTGGGTTCAAAACACGTGATCAACTGGCGAGGGTGTGGGCTTAAGAGCCGTGATCAATGGCCATCGTCGTCGCCCAATGATGCGGCTGTTTTGCTGCAAGCCCTAAACCCTCAAACCAAAAACGAAAAACCGTCATGCTATCCAGAAAGGAACTGCTTCATCATTGCCAGACCACTGCAGTACCTAGATGAATCCTTGCCAGAGTTTCGGCAGAACAGGATTCTGCAAATTGCAGTTTCCCAACAGCCTGCCTCAAAGCAGGATCTTGCGCAATTTCCCAAAAGCTTGACGTAGAACAGAACCCTGCAACACGCAATTCCCCAATAGCTTGCCACTGATTCCCCAAGAGGACGGGACCATGCAAAATGGAAATCCCCACTAGCTTGATGCAAAACAGCACCCTACAAACTGGAATTAAATTGGAATTCCCCAATAACTTGATGCAGAACCGGACTCCATCCATCCGTTTCAGACAGCTGTTCCAACAAACCTTCTGCAAGCAAGTCCACCCTACCCGAAATTCCCTCAAAATGAAGCCCCCAATTCCTTGCCGCAGAGCAAAGTCCTGCAAAATGAAATGGCCTAATAGGATGACGAAAAACGATGCCCTGCAAATTGCAATTCTCCGACAGCTTATTGCGGAGCAAGCCGCCAACCTCTCCAACAAGAACCGAAATAACACAGTCAAAATTCGCTTCAGTCCTCTAAATAGGCTTGGATTCCAACCATCACGACGCTTTCGTTTACCTGGTTGCACAGCATGTGTACATGACACAGCGCAACTTGGAGAGGCTCACAGAGTCAAGCCTTTGCGATCGCTGGGGCCTTGTCTTTCTTCGAATCAAACCTCATCTGGAAAAGCTCCAATTGACTTCGGCATGACAGTACAAGCACACTTTTGGGATGCGGGCTTTAATGCTTTGCGCAGTTCAGGCAGGGGTTGATCATGAGCCGTCGTCAAGGAGATCTGTCAGGAGATACTCCGCCGGTTCACCGCTTGTATACAAGATTCTAAGATGCAGCCGCCTGCTGTAGGACTTCTGGAAGCTGGACAAGAACGGCCTCCTTGTCAACTTCGAACCTCATTTCCTGTCAAAACATGGGCTAGCACTCAACATTCCACATCGTGTAGTCGTGGGGTGGGCTGCTCTGCCTTGCGTCCTTGGCGGAACAGCTCCAGAATGTCTTGCTGTTCTTTAGCCTCTCAGTATTTGCACACGCTGCAGAAGGGATAAGGCACACGTAGAGCAATGGTTGCCTCGTCAACAGGTGGCGCCGCCTCTACCTTGCAGGCGAAACAGCATGTATGCGCATGTCATGTACTCCGAAGTGCGCTGCACAGGGCAGTGACTGGCCTGTTTGGGTGGACGCCGGTGCTCCCACGGAGCCTCTGTCACAGCGACTCTCAAGTTGGGACCCAATTCGACTGCGTTCGTCCCCGCCTTCTTGGCCTCGAGAGGTCGCCATTTGTTTGCAGGCATTGGCTTGGAGGCCTTGTTTGGTTGTCTTCCAAAGAGCCAAAAGGCTGCGCCAACAACAGAACTGTAAGATGCTGTGACACTTCCGTTGGACAGCTGCTTTAAGAAGATGAGCCTCTGCACAAGTTTCGCGGCAACACGCCATCATAGCTTCGAGGTCTACTGAGGTCCTTTGCCTGTACGTTCGCAAGAAGTCGCAGACCTGCTAGGTGTGGCTACACAGCGACAAACAGCTGTGGTGACGTGCGGACTTCACTCGAGGTCGCAGGCGTCCCGAAGTTTCCAGGAGCTCCGGTTCCTCATTGTCCCTCCATCGTCACATCTTTCGCTGAGTAACCGCTGTCGCCCTTCTCACCAGCATCACTGCCCAAAGCTTGACCAGGATCTGCAAGGACTGTTATCCTTTGGTAGATGTTGATGTATGCCTTGGAGCTGATCTTCGAGCAGACCCGACTCTTCAGGAACATTGACCCACTGACAAGTACAACATCGGTTATGATGGTTTCAACCACGAAGCAATTTGAGTGTCGGCTTTCCCCCCACACAGGTCTGTGCTCATTCCTGTCATGTCCTTCCAATTTACGAAGGTAACGTCGTCGTCATCAAAGAGAACCCACTTGTCATCCTGCTCAACGACACTGCTGGCCCGAAATATTGCATATCACACAACGAGATCACAGTGGGAAGGGGACGCACCTTGAGGTCCTTGCCATCCGCTTTCTTGTGGAGGGTCCAGCCCACGTAGTGGCCTCCGTCGGCCTCGAACCGTGCACTGGGAAACCAACCCAGCAAGCATTTCAGTGACTCCAGCATTAAACACCCGTCGATGCAATCAATGCAATTCCTGAGACTAAGCTCCATGCAGTTCGACCCTTGTGTGAAACTATCCCGATGAGCTGGTAGTAGCCAGTGTCAAGCTCTTCCAAGCCCACTGGCTGCATCTCAGAGTCCTGCCCGAGATGGGTGCGAGCGAGATGGAGACTCAGTACCCAAGCACGTGAGGAATGAAAGAGATCTTCGGTCCTCTGCTGGCTTCATCTCCACATCTTCCTTCGCAGAACTACCTTGGCAGCTCATATCCCCCTAGCGCCGATGTGTTGTCAGGAAGTGTTCCGAGGCCCGAGGCTGTCAACACGGATCGACCAAAAGTTGGATCAAAATCTAGTGACCTAGTGATCACACTTCCCAGGTTGCTTTCGAGCTGTTTATGCCACGCATACTTCGGTCTCTGCTGGTTGAGCGGACTAGCTGCAGTGTGCACGAGCAGTTTGCTGCAAAGGACCAAGGATGTGCTCTCGATAGCGTGGCGGCTCAGCCCCAGCCGCGAACTCTCCAAAAAGGTGATGCAGCGATTTGGGTCAGATGGCACTATAACTTACAACTGACCGCCTATGCGCATGCATGAGCCTGATCCAAACACAAACTCAGCCTTCCTATTGGTGTTTGCGGATCACCAAGCTCTTCGTCTACAAGTAAAGGGATTACATGCGCTTTCTGTCACGTTGTTGGTAGAAAACAGGATTGCGATCAGACCTGCAGCGATAGACCACGAGCGGCAGAGTTCTTCATGAGACAGAGCAATAGAAACCGGGTCTTTGCTGTCGTGGTGCTTTGGCACCGGTGCTAGCTGCTAGAGGTGTCAAACTGTTGAAAATAGCTCAAATTCTATCTATAGAAGCACCCTTATTCGTATGGATTTCGTTGGGCCGTTGCATTGGAACATCTCCGCAACTTGCGATTTTCACGGCCACTTGCCACAAACCTCTTCCTTTCTGGATACTGTACCGACAACCCACACACCTGCCTTAGAAGAAGCCGCCTCCCGAAGCGAAGCAGGCAAAGGGTGACATGGGCGAAGGGCACAGTCTGAGCTCTGCTGGCAAACCTGTTTGATTGTTACTGCTGCTATCACCACGACAATCATGCTACTGCTACTGTTCTGACGTGTCCAATCCCGTCTCCGAGCACCATCAAAAAACCGTTCGTCACTGTTGCAGCTGTTCTAATGAGACGACGTACTTTTACTACCTTTACTATCATAGCAGAATCGGCCCTAATTTCTAGTCTCTAATACGACCTTCCCCCTCCTCGTGCCACTGCTGCATTCACCGTCATTGCGATTCGTGACAGTAAACCATTTCTTCCAGCGTTGAGTCTTACTTAATCTTGGTACTACTACTTCTACGCTGCATTTCTGGTCTTAGTATCCCAACAGCCAGCACAGGGCAAAAATCTTGTTGGGAGGACGACGCCTCGCCATCCACACATACACACAGGACAAGAGTCAGGGAGGACCTTATACAAACCTAGGCAAGCAAGCGGCTTTTGTCCAGGGCGGCCTTTTGCCTTTCAAGTTCCTTGTCTTCTTGCTCTTTCTTCTTTACGCGGCCAACCTGACTAACAAGCATGCGGTGGAGCTGCAGGTGACTGAAGGTCAAACATCCCGAAAAAGCAGACAATATGCAAGGCAAGACACAGATAGTCTCTTCTTCACATCATCAGATGTGCAATCAAAAATGTCGAAGGTGTGTGTGAATGCGCATTTGCGCGTTAGCTTCACCTTGGAAGCACTAGTGCCAGCCCATTCGTTGGCACCTTTGTAGCCAAAGCGGGCAAATTGAACCTCGGCATCCGGATATGGGAACCATACATCTGTTCCACTCGGATTTCCAAGCTCCAAACGACAAGGAAGGGTGGCAAGCTTGCAATAGACGATGATTTCTCGTACTGCGCGTTGCGACCCAACACGGGCGATTGCTTCTCAATGTGTTCCTTCAGAGACAACTGTACCTCGGCGAGTGCTGCGAGTGCTTCGCGCACACCGGGCATGCCTACCCCGACATGACAACAGCAGGGTCTTGCGAAGGGCTCTTCAGACAGGCGGCACCTTGAGTGATATGCGATACAGGATCCGTCTGCGTTCCGAGATGGCACAGCAGCACGCGGCTCATCTCTTCCGTCTCCTCCGGACACATAGCCAAAAATACGTGGCACAGCTCAGCACGGGCCGCCCAGGCCTGCGGTGCTTCTTCATCACACTCGAGGCATCGAAGCGTGGATTTTATCTTGTAGCCAAACAGCTCGTCTATCCTGTTCCGGGCTGCAGAGTGTCTCAAAACGCCTTCAAAGGCAGCTCAGGCCTGTTTGTGGATTCGCTGCTCCCCTTTAAGGTTCCTGAAAGGGTTGTGAGCAGCCCACGGAGGCACTCATCCGCGTCCTGTCATATCAGGATAAGCTAGCTTCATCTCTGTGCTTCCGACCTGCCGCTACTCGGTAGCTGATATCCTGCTGCATCGGCGCTCCATTCTGCATCTCTGCAAACCTGCAGCATTTGGGGCATCAAGAAGCTCAAAAAACTCTTCCCCAAGGTCACGGCCTTGGAAAGCGCTGCCGCAAAGCCATGACGAACTGCATGGGAACGATGGAGTCTGTGGTGCTGGTGAGCTGCGAGTTGACGCTTCGCAGCTGCGCGGTGAGCACCTCAGCTTCGCCCTCCGCCAGCTGCAGTCTGCTCTAAGGCGCTCTACTCGGCACACGGAGTCCGAGGAAGGGGCTGAGTCGATATCACGGACCTGCAAACGAGTCTTTGCCCGTGAGAGATATTCACTTTCACTCGCGCACCTCAGTCCCTGGAGACTGGTACTGGTTGAGCGCTTCTCTCAGATCTCCCACCCTGTTCAGGCATTGCAGAGTCGCATTCATGTAGCACGTGTTGCCCAAGTTCTTGATTCCAGCTGGTGGGATTTCCACTTTCCTCGGCGCCCATGGCAAGTTTCCCTTGGCTACAGAACTGCTCCTTCTGGCCAAGGCCCAGACTTCTCTTTCAGGATCCTCGCCTTCTCTTCTGGAGACAGGTCCTCCTCGAAGACTACTTTCTCCTCTGGAGCTTTCAGCTCTTTGCCCTGAGAATCTTGTCAGGTGATCGGAAAGGACAGATCGAACACTCCCGCAAGCACGTGGCCTCGGGGGTGCCCATCAGCGTCACCTTTGCCCCTGACTTCAGCTTTGCAACCTCAAAATGAACGCTGGCATCATTGCCCTGAAATTCTGCTCATTTCGAGACAGCCACCTTGGCCATGAGGTCGTCGGTATCCTTCAGCATCCCTCCAGGAAATCCCAAAAACTTCCTCAGCACTCGGCAGATGACCTCCCTTGCACACAGCTGCGCCACTTGCTTCCATGGCTCTGCCTATCCATAGGCACTTGAGTCAGAGTCCAAACCTGTGTTTTGAAGACCTTCCAGCGCGACCGAGCAGGAAGCTACCGGTACAACGAAGAAATGAGCTCAAGCCTCAACAGTGGAGCCCTCTTCGATGGTGATGTCAAACTCTTCTTTGTTCCATTTGAGCTTAATTTGCCTTGGTCTAAGGTTTCAGGGCAGTGCAGGACACAGGCCTCAAATCCGGTGCTGCCAGGCAGCGCCATGTCGGGTAAGTCTCTTCTCGTCAGCGATGCCACAGACTTTACAAGCACCCGATGTGGGCTGCTCTGCTACTCCTGTGGCCCTGTGGCTGCAATTCCCGACGATATCGTTTAATGCTTGAACAACATGCCATCTCTTCATTGCTTGAGCGAGATAGCCTTGCATGGCACCCGGAATCAAGCTCACAACATGGAATTGACACTTGCGCACCTCCTCACATACAGTGAAGCGACTCCGAAGGATGTGAACCTAGACCGGTTCTCTCTCATGTTCGTAGTTTGACCTGCCTAAGATACTCCGGCTGCCATAAGCAAACTTATGCTCCAGTCTTTCACCCAAAGTGATGGCCTGTCATGGGTCACGACTCTTGCTTGGCAAGGTCAGTCTAAGATGTGAACAGCTTTCGCTGTTCATCTAACTACCAGGTCCACTAGGCATCATCTAAGCATGCGAGTTGTTGTAGACTGCCTGCAGGACTCCATGCTTCAGAATGAAATGTGCGCACTGGAGCACTGACCAAGGAATCCCGCAGCCTTTGAGTTTTCACGATTCTAGCTCCAGGCCTCAGAGGCGTAGCCGCCAAAGCCATTGTAGCCACCAGACCTCACAGGCGATTGGAGAGCAAACGCCGCCCACAGCACGATGCATCCTGGCCTCGGTACCTCGACTCCCTCACCACCCTCGAGGCCTTGGACCACACATTGCGACAGCACACCATCACTGCAGTCACCGTCACCGCCTGAGGCCAGAGAATCCGGTACAGCCTGCAGCATCAGCGAGGCTGCCACTAACTTGCCAGCACAACATGAATCATGAATGACAACACTGACCATCGGTCGCAGGTGCAGTAAACATCAGGCAGTTTGTCACGAACGTCAATTTCCGAAGGTTCTCGTCGAGAAATCCATCTAGCCCTGCGAGTTCTCGTCTTCGCGATTTCTGAGGCTTGGGAGTGTTCCAACTCGTCGTCCGTCTAAGCGAGTCGAACCCTCGAATCTCACCCTCGCTTTGAGGAACGTGGACCCACAAATCACAAACTTCAATCGTTCCAGAGCTGTTGTCGAATTCACGAAAGATTCGTATGCTGAGCCGCCACCCGGATTTTCTGGCGGAGAGTTTTTCAGAGAAGAAGTCACCGGTGAAAGAAGAAACTAGTTTTGAGCAAGAATGGATTCAGCACGACCCCGAATGCTCTTGCTAGTGCCTGCGAGGGATCCAAGATACCGTTGGTGGCAGCAAGCTGCCGCTGCATTAACGCCACGAAAGCCTCACAAGGCACGAGCTTAGCACAGGCTTTTGTGGATGATTCCTCCCCCTGCATCCTCATAATCCATCACTGCCAGCAATGAGTCCGCGATGTCCTGAGCCAGGCCTGCCAAGTTCAAAGAACGCTGCACTGTTTCACCATGTGACAATCAGCATCTTTCGAGTCTTCTACCAGCTGCAAACGGTGCCATCGCTCAGGAACAATGCATCGTCAGTCTTGGAGCTCAGCCTCCCTGCTGGACGGCTTCTTGAAACGCTTCAAAGCCTCAGGGGCAAGAAGTCGGCCATTGCAACATGGGGTTGCCATATGTCTCCTTCGTTCATTATGCCGAAGGCTGAAACTTAATGGGGATGGTGGGGCAAACGGCGCACACTGAATTCTGATTGTAAGGCACCTAGCAACAGACGATGACATGCACCACTCGCTGTTTTCCGCAGCGAGGAACCTGAGATCAGAACGTAGGCGCTGACTGCACCCATGCCTGTAATGGCATGACTAAAGATGCTTCGCACGAATTTCCAGTTCTGACATCTGTCTACGGCTTGTCCCTCACTCCATCAATGTGGACTGCAACGACTTGACCTCGGAAGTGTTTGTTCGAGCTTAGTTTGTATCCTGCACAAGTGTGCACAAGGCTTGCCTTCTCACTGAAAGCAATAGGTAATAAGCATCAAAATCTCCTCCACGTCTGTGAATGGTTCCGACAGTGCAAGCAAAGCGCATGACTAGCTGCTCACATTGTAAATCGGGGAGGCTCTAGGCTCATGCTGGGAGAAGCATGACGAATGCAGTGGTACCGTTAGCACTCTTTATATCATGAAGGTGCCTTTACATTTGCCTGTCTCGACTCCGAAACTTGATTCGGATCAAGCTGACTTGTTGAGGGCTTGACTCTTGAAGCGACTCTTGTTGCTGTCGTTGTTGTTGTCCATCCTTTCTGTGAAGGCCACGTAGAGGATGTTCTTTGCATCTGCATCATAAATGCGCTTCACCTTCAACGTCTTGAAGAGGATGGCACGTGACTCTGTGAAGACGTCCTCTCCCTCCTTGCTCGGCTTTAGATCTGGAGAGATCATTACAGGTCCGTTCCTGGCACAGGTCAGGCCTGCAGCCCCCGGGTCCGAAAAGAAGTCGCCTTTGCTAACCCGATCGGCCATGGATCGAGAGAAGTCGGAGATGTACAGCGAGACACCAGAAACTTTCGGATCCTCAAACGCTTCCACGTTGATAGTGTCCTTGAAAATGAATCCGGATGCAGGAATCTCGCCCACCACCCGCTTGCTCTCCGCCGAGGCTGGCGACAGCACGGCAAACAAACCCAGCAGGATTGCCAGTCCAGTCGCCGCTGCTCCGCGGATGAGTTCCAGGTTGGGAGCTAAGTGCTCATCGGACTGTGCGTCATAAGGCCGGCGGTGCGCAGACAAGCGAGTCACCTGGCAGACATCGTGACAAATTGTAGATGCCTGCAAACATGCTGCTCAAACCAATCTACCAAAAGTAGCCGCTTTTCCATCAAGGTGCAGACGACACTCCACGACTCCATGGGCAAGAGCCGACGAAAGCTCTGCTGCCTGGTGCAATGCAGGTAATGCAAGATGGCGCTTTCAAAACAAAGCCTGAGAGCCTGCTCTACAATCTCTTTCTCTACGACGTGCAGACCGGGAGTCCGGGCACGGAGCCCTAACAATTTAGGAAAATGGGAGCGACAGTGAGTAGCACTATCTGCTTGGGAACAAGGATTTGTAAACAGGCCATGAGGAACGCGGAGCAGGTATTATCGCAGACAAAGTTTGCCGCATCTCCTGCCTATGCACACCAAGCATACACTGGCAGCGACAGCTGCCAGCCGAGTCAGTCGCGTGAACCTTCTGGCGCGAACGACCTCAACCCGAAGAATCTTTGCTTTGCCAGTCTTTCATAAAACAACATCTCTTTAGAAAATCTTTGAGAGAAGCTGCCATGATGCGGCCGGGGAATGCCCAGTGACAGCTTTAGAGCCAAGAGTGGCAACGGGGCTGTCTTCACTCTACAGTATTCGCGGTCTGCATATTCCCGAGACGCCGGCTGTGGCCCTTCTTGCAGAGCCATGCCTGCGGAATGCGACTTTCGACATCTAGGACTGCAAAGCAGCTGAACAAGCCTAAATCCAGTGCACGTGTACAATCAACCAATAAATACATATATATATATGCTCGCCCCGCCCCCACGATCCAACGGTCGGTGGTGCGCGGGGTTGTGGAGGGTGAGCAGGCACCTATCTGAAATGCATGCGATCTGGACTCCGAGTACATTCTACAGCGCATACAGTTTCAGGAGCATCTCCTTTCAAAGCTCGAGAGAGCGCACAAAGACGAGATTTATCCAACGTTATATATGGTGAAAATATTCGGGGCTTGGCGTCTAATTTCGGAACGGTAGGAAATCAGGACGACAGTGCAGGGGTATATTTCTGAAACATGGCAAAATACCCACCTTCCACCTGTTGAAAAGCCACTATCTAGCACGCATACATCATTCGCAATAGACGCACTTGTTATTAAGATTGCGTAACTGTAAGAGCACCTATGTACTGGAAAAACATTCAATGAAAACTTATATGAGCTTAACTAACCTTCAAATTTTTGTTCAATTAGCAAGATAGCAGATGTAACGAGAATTTAGAGTAGCCAATTATTCAATTAGTGCCCAACTCAATCTGCTAGCTATTGACAACATGCCTTTACTAAGGAAACAACATTAGGCCGCGATAACAGTGTTCGTTAAGTACTAAGCCATAACATGCCAACTACATGATCCAAACATAATACTAACAAGCACATCGCATATAAATGAAACACCAAAAAGACATGAAGCAAATATTCGACTTAGTACCACTGAAATATTAACTAAACTGAACTACGCAGTAACCGCAGACTGGAAAGGTATCATGTAGCACCATTAAATTAAATATTTTTTACATGCACAGCACCTGTCAATTGTTAATACTGTCACTTATTTATGAGCTATCTTCCAAGTGTTGCTTGCATATCAATAACGAGTCAGGTATCTGTGAAATCGTGAGATATTGGTCGACTGATTCATATCACCTGCCAAGCGATATCAATAATTCATGAACATCGAACACCAAGCGTTATTGACCACTACTTCGTATCTCTTGTAACAGTAATATGATATTGGAAAATCAACAAATGTTATGAATATGATCGCTATCTAACACTTGCTGATATTGCCTTCACTTGTCGTCAGCTATCTTCTAGAGATTGCCGTATTGCCAAAAACGAGTTAGGTATATACTCATGAGACCTTGGTCGAATAATTCTTGAGTCAGAGCGATCTTACTGATTCGTGAATATCGATTTCCAAGCAAAACTAATGATTACTATGCATCTCTGATAACGTTAATTCGATAGTTATTGAAGAATGACTAACACGCGCGGGGTTTAACATGCGATGCACTCCGATCGTCG